GAATAATAACAAAAAGAAAAAGGAAAAAAGCCATTCTTTAACATGGGAATCCACGAACCTCGAGTTTTTGTCCTCAAGGTCATTTCCATTCCCTTAAAACACAAACACACAAATTTCTATGGCTTAAGAAAGATAAATACATTTGCTTCAAATAATAATAATAAAAAAAAAAATATATATATATATATATATATAAAATGCCCCAAAAGGGTTTCTCAAACCAAGTACAAAACTAATAAAAAAGAAAAGAAAAGAAAATCCAAAAAAAGGCAAGTTGTTAGTTGTTACCTCTTTTCAACTTTTTGCAGACAAAAAATGCACACAACTCAAAGCTTCCAATGATTCCATTTCCAAAAATCCCTTTTTTGGTTTTTTTTTTAATTTTAAATTAATGTTTTATTGAGATGGGAGCAGCCTTAAAAAGTTTCCAGTTCCTCAGTGTGAAAACTAAACAAAACTTCCACCGATTTCCACCTTCAATAATCACTGTTCCAACGCGATATCCATTATTACAAAAATCATCAAAATAACCAAAACCATAATTTCAATAATAAAAAATAAATTTTTTTTTAATTTCAAATGTGGAATCATTCTGATTCTAAGCTGTCAAAAAGTGGTGTAGTTTTCATACCGATCCATAACGTAACATAAGGTCCCAGATCTATTATGAAAATGTCTATAGAATTATCGGTAAATATTTAAAAAATCATAACAAATAAATATTTCAATCTTTTAAAATGGTTAATATTAATATTATGTTTATCATTAATGATATTTTAGCAATACTTTTTATATTTTGTCAATTTTTTTTGCAATACTATAAAAATGCCCGTTCATTTCAAATATCGAACCGTTTAACCATCAATGAAAATTAAACTCTCTGAATGATCCAAAAAAAATAAATAATATATATATATATATATGTATACGTTCGTGGCTGACATCATGCAACACCCAATCCACGCCCCCATGTCTTCTGCTTTTTACCCATTGTTTCCCCAACACGATTTAAAATAATAATAATAATAGTTCAGTCTCAAACTAAAAATTTTGGTCTTTTGGCCGCTTCATTAAATCTTAATGCAATAGAAAATTCTAATGACCAGCCAAAGAAAACCAATGGACTGATTCCATTTAGGAGTTTTATTTTTATTTTTTAATGGTAATGTATGTTTCAATCCCTAAATTTTGAAAGGATTCAATTACGCTTCTAAATATTAAATTGTGATCTTACACGGTTCTTACCATTTACAAAGTGATGGGATAACATGTTCGATAAACGTTTTTTGATTTGACAAGATGAGAAACAAATAGTAAAAGAAAGCAAATAAAATTTCCACAATCCATAAAATAGATTTAAACGAGATTATATTGCACATACCACTTCCTTTTACATTGTCATATCATCATTTTAGAACTACATTAAATCACAATTAAAAGTTAAAAAGACAATAAAAACATTATAAAATTTGGAAAACAAACGGACAACTATCATATTGTGCCGAGTAAATTGTAAATTTACCAAAATAATTCTTTCCACCATTTTAGAATAAAATTTTAATCAATCCAGAACAATCGTCCTTTACAAACGCTACACAAACACTGTTCTGAAAAATCAATATTGAAAACAGAAACAGAAACACATCATCGACCTCGACCTCAACCTCAACCGAGTCGATCGACCCGAAAAGATTAAAGCAGTAGAATCTAAGAAACGTAACAAAAACAGGCACACAAAACTTCCTACTACATCATCAAACCTCATCCTAGATATAGGCATAAATTCTACAATGGTTGTTATGCATATGGGGGAGTATATCTGAAAGTGTAGGTGCGAACAGGGGAGAAGAGAACAGAACCCACAAATAAAAAGGTTCATTTTTTGACAATGACAACAAAGGAAAATTTTGAATGGCCTAAATTCAAAAGGGTATGGATCAGGACGGTACTGCCAATCAGGAATATGGATTCTCTGCCAATGATGAAATTCGAGGGTCGTGAAAACACTTACGAGTCTTCTACTGAGGTGGCAGCAAGCTGAATTCTGCGCTGATGAACATCCCAATTGTAAACACGGGCTATAGTCACCTGCAACAGTCGAAATGTAACAAACTGGTCATTAACCATGCACAGTCTTCTTTTTTATCATAAAACAATTATCACCTATGTATATTATGCAATGCACTCGATGTAACAAAATCATGTTAATTAAAGAGAAAAATTCATTTCAAATTATGGTTAAGTTACAAGTTTGGTCCTTTCACTTTGAAAGTTGCGACTAATAAGTTTTTGAACTTGAAAAAATATCTAATAGTCCTCTCAAATATCATGATGTGTCTAATAGATCCCTAAATTTTAAAGTGTCTAACAAGTCTTTCAACTTTCAAATTCATATTCAGTAGGTTCCGGAGAATTAAAAAATCTTATAATAAAGTTCTATTAGATAAAAAATTGAAAGTTTTAACACCTATTAGATACAAAATTCAAAGTTCAAGAATTTTGTTAGTCACTCTTCAAAGTTCAAGGACCTGTTAGACAAAACATAGAAAGTATGGGAATTTAATAGACACATTTTAAAGTTCAGAGAGACTTGACACAGATCTCAAAAGTTCAAAGACTGAACTGATAATTTGACCTTAGTTTTTTATAATATTGATATCGACTACCAACAACGAAATGATAAGATGTGAGACAACATTGAATGATGACCCAAAAATTATTTACTTAAGATCATATGACTTTTGAATGAGAATAAAGAAATATATTTGACTGTGAAAAGACGCTCACTGACTGGTTGAAATTTATAGGGGTCCTTACCTGGGTTATCGTCACCTGGTCCCTCAAAAACTGTAGATCAGCGACAAGAACTCCCAAGCTTTCTTTAGCATTATCCAGATTCTTCTTTAGGAGGGCTGTGGCCTGCACCAACAAACGTGAAAACAGCCATAACTAGTGTCCTTTATTCCAAAATTGAATAAGAAATGGAGAAAAATTAAAGGGAATTTTCTTAGAAGTATCTAAAACCTCTTCACGTGAATAATCCAGCATGACATTTGCACCAAGCCATAGACAAACTGAGTCAGTTTCCTCAATGCGAGCCCGGGAAAATATGCCTTCAGAGATCTCAAAATCTGCTACAAGTGGCTGTGCATGATAGCTAAAGATAAACAGATTGCTTAAGAAAACTAAAGTTTAAGCTGATAAAGAAGAGAGGAAATCCCGTAACTTAATAAAGCTCTTGAAAATAATGAATCTTTAAAAGGAGAAATTTATACTCCAAGAAAAAATCCATAAACTATCTGCTTAGTTGAGGTTATTTGACAATGGCAACGATGGGACCACCGAATCTATATCTAAATTATAGTCCAACACTATGAATTCAGAAATTAATAATTTTCCAGTAGCCCAAGTAGATTCTTATGTTTCCAACCTGTGAATTTAAACTTTTAAAAATAATGTTAAAACCTGAGTGTTCAGTCTCATTGGAAGGGAGTAGGATGCGCATATGAAATTGATAAAATTCAGAAAGTTCCCCAAATTAAAGGTTATCCAGGTTAACAGATGGATGTAATTTGAGCAACTGATTTTTTTCCCTCTTTTCTTTTCTGCAGGAAATCATATGGGAATACCGGAATAGCACAGCAAATGGAGGCAGGAAATGGGCATCCATTTATGAGTCCAACAACGTATCACCAAACCGTATGGTGTAAGATTAGAAGTTGGATACCAAATGGTAAAACAACTCAATCAACACCAGGAGAACATGAACATTTCTCAAGTAAACTTATTAATTTACGTCAGCAATGTAGTGACATGAATACAATCTATGATATGAGTCTTAAAAATAATGTACTTATAGCCCGAGGTATACTGAAGTTCAATAACTCTATGGGGCTTAAAGTATGATGGCAAAAGGTAAAAAGAAAAAAGAAAAAAAAACGAGTTGCACACTAGAAAAATAAAAATAAAAACTTTGTAACATATAAAAACATAGTATTATTTTTTAGAGAGAGGAAAGGACAAAAATTTAAGAGAGAAAAGTTAGGGAGGGAGACATAAAAACATAGTATTATGAAAATTATAAGGCCTCATTAAGAGATTGTTTAAAGATACAGGCTTTAGGCAACTTATCTTCCTATTTCTTTTTTTTAAAGAAAAAAGATTAGAAAATAAATATTAAGAATATATATATATATATATATATATATATATATATATATATATATATATTTGAGGCATGCACCTTGCTTCAGGAGAGCAAGCGCCCCTGGGCAAGCCTTTCAAAACGATGCTTAAGACTAAATTTCAATATGAAATAATACTATAAATGCAATTCATTTACTCGATTTGAAACCAACATCTCTAAGTTGGTACGAATAATCACCACCATAGAAGCCAGGAAGACGAACCTCACCAGTGGCCGAGTCCTTTTTAGCCTGTAACATAGCAACTATATCCAAACACTTTCGTATGTCTGGGATCTTTGCCTGGAAAAGGAAAAAACAGATAGTGGGTGATAGTACCACAAGCAATATTTATGGTAATATAAAACTCAAGTAGCTGCAACTGCAAGTTTCATTACCATATAGGCCATTCAACAATGAGAAAAAATTAAATGTTCCCTTGACTTCATAATCAAATACAAGCTATACTTTTTCTAAGATTGTAGAATCTCATACGTTATAAGGAGTCTGCATAACAATGAGACACATAACATATTCATTAATTCAACATGTATGGGTTATACACATGCCATGTACCTTAGATTAGCCATGAGCATGCTTTTTAGCCTTTGTATTATTGAATATTAGTAATCTAATTTATGGGCTCATAAAAGTAATTCATGTTATCCGTCAATAAACACTAGAGAACTCAAATTCCATTTTTCTTAATCTAATCATTCATTGTTCAGAATATCCTGATGCCTAGTGTCATCAATTGTTTAACTTAAACCCTGATTATATTTAATAATGTGATGAACAAAAACATGTAATATTTCATTCAGCGTGAAAAAATGAACATACACAACAAATATTTGGAAAAACAGAAAACCACGATTAAAAATAGAAAGGAAAAGACCTGAAGTTCCCTTTGTTGAGCAAGAAGTTTCATCTCAACTAACTTGTATTGCTGAAGTCTGCATGAGAAAATTGCATAAAATTAAAAAAAAAAACGGGGTTAATAGACATATACGAATATCTTCCAATTGAACAATTGGAGATTTATTTGCTAAACAATCTGCTAATAATTTTCATTTTCCACGCGTTTAAGATTAAATCCCACTTTAAACGCAGAGGTAGCTCCAATATTCGCATCAAGTGCCCAACAACAACGATCTAAGACATCTAAACTTATGCATGTATAGCTCTAGGGATTAATAGACTTAAAGTGTCGAGAAGCTAAAAATGAGGGCTCTAATCCAGTAGGCTTCAATAATAATGCAATTCCAAAAAAACTACAGCTAAAGAGATTCTAGAAAGTCCAAGACTCCAATACACTCCCAGCCACTAGAAACTCGTAAAGTTCCAGAAAATTGAAGTTGCTATACCACGACTAGTATAGATAAACAAAAAATTCGAGTTCGCTAATACATATACCAACTCCTCAATATCTTGATTGCATCCTACAACTTATAATTTACGCGCTAACAAGACTTCTAAGTGCCAGAACACGATGATGAAGAACACATCAAAACAGTCTAACAGATCACTACATGTAACAGAGAGCGGTACACATTTTAAAAGCATCAAGTAGACGGGAACTACATCGTCATTTCCAGATTCGAATCAAGTCAAAAGAGAAAGAGAGAGTACCGCTCTTGGAGAAAAGCAAGGGCGGAGTTAACATCGAGGCCTAACTGAGAGAGATAGGTACGAACATCCTCCACGAACTGAGCCGCCGGAATTCCTCTTCTGTCAGTCACGACCGCGCCGGAAGAAGAAGAAGAAGACGACGATGCAGAATCCATTCCGATTGGAAAAACCCAAAACCCCCGCAAATCAAACCGATCTTTGAATTTTCTTTTCTGTTTTCTGCAAAATGAGATTCAACGCTCCAACATCGACGAAATATGATGATACAAAACGACGTCGTGGAGATATGTCTGCAAGTTCAAATGTCGGGCCCAATTTCTAAATGGGCCGAAACTATTTGGGCTTGGGCTGCCACTACAAGAAAGATTTTAGTTTTGGGCTGAGGACCCAATGGATCAGGTTTTGGGCTTGGATAGTTCCATATCTAACATAAGTTTCAATATATTTCTCAAAAAAGATAAAAAATAATTTCAAAATTTGTTCGAATTCTACCATCACAGGTCCTTTTCTTTTAAAAAAAAAATAAAAAATCATGTTTTCATCTTTCTATAAGTTGGAGGCAATTGGAAGAAATATGTTTGATTTGTTAAATAAATTTTAAAAGCTAAGTGAAATATAATGACGTAGGGAAAAGTGGGTCAATTTAATTAAAGTTTAGGTGAGTCGACATAGCTAGTTAATAAAGATTGAAAAATTGTATCTCAAAAAAATTGAGAAATTGACTAACTAACGGTGATTGAAAACTTAGACCGACACTAAATTAAATCATAGCATTCTCAAATTTAAAATCATATCAAATCACATTCATCAATTTCTAACTAATCAAACCAACTTGCATCCCTAATTACATTCACATTACTTTTTCCAAATTTCTAAGGAGGTCTCACCCTATGTAGACTTCCGCATTATTTTTTTAATATGAAAAATATGAGAATGAATTTGTATTTCACCTATAATAAACTACCATGGTTCAAATAGTCGGGTATCACTATCTCCCTTATTTAAAATGTAATATTTTTATAAAAAGATTAAAGTAATTAGAAATGACCAAAATGCCACTAATATTACATATTTAAAAAAGGTCATTTTCACAATCCACTTAGATTCTAGAAAGATGGGGAAAGAGAAACCAAGATTCATTGTATTTAATGAAGTTTGGAAGTTGGAGAGTCATAATCTCTATAGTCTAACAACAAATGGGGAAGAAGATAAGAAATAAACAACCACAATTTAACAAAGGTTTTCATTTATTATTATTGTTTCCTTTTTGGTGATTAGTTTTTGGGTCAATTCCAAAAGTATTGAGAGATTTGATGCAAAACCATCCAACAAAAATTTTTCAGAAAAAAAAAATCAAAAAAATGGCAAGATCCTTTGACAATGGCATACAACCATTCAATTTTTTTTTTTGGTTAAGATAATATGGAAAAAGAAAATTAAATGACCACATAATTACTTTTTCCCCAACAACAAATTTGAGGACACCTCAACCAAATCCCATTCTAAACTACTTTAGGTGGGAGGGAGATATGTCTTTTGATTTAACATTACTTAGTTTTCAATAATAATAATAATAATAAATATTATTATTATTATTATTTTTTCTTCTACTTTCAAAATATCTATTTTTGGTTCTTATACTTTTAATTTGTGTCTCTTTTGACCATACACTTTCTAAACGTTTGTTTTGATCTTTATACTTTTAAAAAGTGATCCTTATGGTGCATTCGTTTTATTTTTCTCTCATTTTTTCGATCACAGTTTTTAACATGACATTACACTCAATAAATTTTCTAAAATGTGTTCATAATTTTATATTAAAAGTTATGTTGTGTAGAATTTGTATTAAAATTGTGCAACAAAGACTAAAATAATAACTTACAAATCAAAATAGACATTTTAAAGGTAGGAGTGTTCAAAAAATGGAGTATCCCTAACAATCCAGACAATTGGGTTGGGTTGGGTTACAAATTTTTTTTGTTTGGGTTGGGTTGGTTTTTTTCTAAAGATGAAATATTGGTTCAGTTTTTGATTTGGGGAATTTTTGGTCAGTTCAACCCTAACCGAACTCTATATTAGAACTTTTTATATATATATATTTCTAGGGTTTGTCGCATCCCCCTTCCTATTTGCCCTCCACCTCTGTTTCGTCTTCCTCAACACCGCCACCGCCACCTTTTCGGATCTCTGCATTGCCCTCTTCTCCGACAACCCCTCCTCCTTCCTTTTCATGCTCACTTTCATCCCCTTCGTCATCTGCCTCTTCGTCATGTTCTTCCTCCGAGAGATCCACCCCCACCATATCGTTGCAGCCAAAGTTCAAGAAGAGGAGTTCAACTACTTCGCCATCTTCAATGACCCCTTCATTGTCGTCGCTCTTTATTTATTGGGCTTCAATTTGATTTAAAACTCAGACAAAGTTCTCTCCCAGATTTTCTCTGTCGATTGCTAATTCTCCCAGATTTTCTTGTATGCCCTCGTCTCCCTTCCCCTCCCTCTCAACCCAGCGACCCAACCCAATCAATCCAAGAATATAAGGATTGGGTTACAAATCAACTTCGATTCTATCACGTATATGAACCAATCAACTTGAAAGTTCGGGTTGGACCAAATAAAAACATCTCTAATCCGACCCGACCCAACCCGTGAACATCTCTATTTAAAAACATAGGAATTAAAATAAACAAAAATTAAAAGTACACATAAACAAACATTTCGAAAGCATAATAACTAAAATAAATTTAAAAAAATGAAATTTTGGAGATCAAAATAGTATTTCAACCAAATATTTTAAAATGGATCATTTATTAAAATAAGAAAAAGAAAATTAACCTAATCACCATCTAGATCTATGTATTAATGATAGCTAGGCTATGTAAGTAGGTTGCTTTTAGGCTTCATCACTAAATATTATTCAATAATATCTCTCTTTGTATTTACTTATTTGGATGATCGATTGATGGAATCATGGGTATTTAGAGAAAAATGATATATTTTTTCCAATATATCATTGGTGTTGAATTATTTTAAAATTTTAATATTATCACATTATTTAGTACTGCAATTCGTCCTCATAATTTTTTTTTCGTTTTCTTTCAAGATTTATGGCTAGTCGTGGGTGTTTTTTAGCTGAAATAGACTATTTTTCTGAGTTCTGATTTTATTGACTTAATTGAATTCGAATATTTAGTTGAGTTTGGAAATTAATTTTCATCTAATTGATTTTATGACTCGGTTCAAATATTGTCATGATTGAGGAAGATGACTTTTTTGACTAAGTTATCATCAAATAATTTAGATAATACATTGGCTGCTTGAAAAAGTGGATCAAACAAATCAATTTTTGAAGGAAATCCCGCAAGTTCTTTGAGCTCAATTAGGGCTAATATATATATATATATAGTGTGAATGATACTCGCTCTAGGTAAGTCCAAACTCTATGATACGGTAACTATTTACTTAACCCTGATTCCGCTGAATTTGAAGCTTTGCCTTGCACGTGATTCAGAAATGATTGGTGACCAACTAATTCGTATAAAAACGAAAAAAATCACATAAAGTTGAACATCTCGACGAGAATAGAATATGCCTGATTAATTTTTTTACTACTATCGTATAGGACTTCATTATATGATTAAAAAGCAATATTACTCCTAACAGTATAAAGGTAATCAAAAACCGAGGGAATCTAGCTCTAACCTAACTTAGCATCTAAGCATGTTAAAAGATGAACACATTACTCAACCCAAGTTAAATAAAGTAAAAGTAGGATAGTGAAGGACTAATATAGGTACGGGTCATGATTGTTTGGTTGTGTCTACAATTTCATCTCTAAATAACTGTATAAACTCGATCGACCTTCCGAGCTAGGCTACTTTAACTAGAATTAGCTTCTAATTAGGAATTAAAAATCCTAGCCATTGTGACATTAACTCTAGTGATGTGATTCTTTTCCTTGAGGTAGAATCTTGGTCCATGTTACAACAAGTTCTCTTGTCTATATGATCAATTTACTTTGAGTCGATTCATAATTAATGTAACTAAATTACTATAATTGATCTTATGAACCTCTAAATTTTCCTCAACTTTGGGTTAACTAATTTTGGGATAAAATGAGAGGTGTTATCTTTAAACTTGTACTTATATAACGACACTGTGTTAACTAATTTTTATGAAAATGACACTTCTAATTCTTTAGTCACGTTTACATTATTGTGTCATAACTTCGAGAGTCGAAATTAAAGGATTATGATCTTGAACACACATTATGAATATATGAAAGCATCAAGTCGAAATTAAATGATTATGATCTTGAATACACATTATGAACATATGAAAGCACCCTAGAAAATTTTGGTAAAATTTTAAGAAATGAAATCGAAATTTCCAAAAAAAAAAAAAAAAAATTCAAAGAAACTTAAATATCAAAGACTAAATTATATATTTAATCAAGGTTTCAAATATAGAGCTTGAAAATTGGGGTTGGAATTAGGTTAATATATCAATTTTAACAGAAAATATCGAGATCCTAATTTTAGTGGAGAATAATCCATAAATATTTATCCCAATAAATATATTTCTTAAAAAATCGCAAAAGTCTAAAATTAGACATTTTTCTCAAATATTTTTCAATATCTTTTAACATTTAGTATAATAAAAATATCGATTTTAACGGGAAAACCATTTGACCCCTCCACGTGGCCTTTATGACCCTTTCAAATTCTCTCTCTTCTTTCTTTTTCTCTCTCTACTTTTTTTTTCATAAAGATAAAGAAAAATAAAAAATAAAAGAAATTAAGATGTCGTTTTCTTGAGGTTTTGGCTTTATTGGTGGCCTCACCTCACATGGTGGCAGCTCAAATGGAGAAAAGAAAACGCATAAAAAGACAAAAGGGTTAGAAATGGAAATTAGTGGGATGGTTTTGCTTACGTGGCATGAGCAGGAGAGAGAAAGGGTCCCACGTGTTGGCCTCGGGCATGACATGTCACATGCACCTTCATCATTTTCCCAAATTAGTATTAAAAAAGTAAGTAATGGTAAAATTAGCATCTATTTAAGATTTATTAATCATGCTTTAATGATGATAATGAGTACTTTTTTATTTTATCGATTTTAAATTAAATACGTACTTTATACTCTAGTTCATTTTGGTCTAGATAATTTCAAAATATCTATTTGGTCTATGTATATTTAATTTTTGTACTTTTAAAACGTCTGTTTTAAATTTTTTACTTTTAAAAAGTGACCATTTTAACCTCTTCGTTTTCATTTTCATATCATTTATTTTGATCATAATTTTAGTGCGAAGCTTCTCTCATGAAATTTTTTGAAATGTAGGCATAAATTTGTATACAAGAATTTTAATTGTATATAAAATTTGTGTTAGAATTTTGTAAGGATGGATTGAATTGGTCACGTTTTAAAAGTAGAACAACCAAAATGAATATTCAAAATATAGTGACAAAATTAACAAAAGGAAAATATAAAATAAATCAAAGCGAAAAGTAGAGAAAAAAATAACATTGAAACCCAATTTATTTTATATATGATTTGTTCATGGGTCTAGATATTGGGAAAACCATAGTATAGGTTTGTAGAAAAAGGATAATAATGAATAATCGATTAACATGTATCCAATAAAAAAGTATTATTTTCTTAAGACAATTTTGTTCCGTACTGAGAAATCGTACAAACTAAACACTACTATATAAGCATTCAACATTTGTGTTCTTTATTTTTTATTTTTAAAATAACTTTATTCATAATTTTCAATCGTATATAAGTTAGGACAATACATATTTATTACATGAGGTATTTCGACGTAAGCAAAAATCAAAAAATCATATGTCAACTTTAGTATAGCTCAACTGATTAAGGTACGACTAAAAGATCACGGCTCCAAATCCCCACCCCCACATGTTGTGCTAAAAAAAAGAGCATGTTTGTTTCTGGTTTTATTTCTAAAAGATAAATAAAAATATTATTTTATCATTTTTTTACTTATAAGATGCATAAAAAGTATTAAAAAATAAATATAAAATAAAATTTTGGATATTTAACTTTTAAATAAAATGTTTACTTTTTTTCAATTTAAAATTTTAGAGAACGATAGAAAAATTTGCCCAAAATATTTATGCTTCTTTTTCAATAATGGAAAAAACAAGAAACAAAAATCAGTTACCTGATTCTATCTTTCTTATTAAATAAATAACAAACAGAGAAATAAGAACTACGTTATTTTGAATCCAACCAAATAGATAATTACCTAATAAACCTCAATCTCATTTGTTTAAGCAAAACTAACAAGTAACAAGTCAACATTCTCTAAACAAAATAATAATAAAAGATATTAAAAATATTTAAATTTAGGCAACTTGGTATCGCGTGGTATGCTAGATCAAGATGTTGACAGTTGACACTTCCCAATTTTTTCTTATTTTATTAAAAATTATTTGAATGGATGACCGAGTATTGCGTGGAAATGGTGGAGTTGCTTATATAATAAATTTGAAAATATTTCAAAAGTTAGGGTCAAATTTGTCTATATTTTACGGTCGGTTTAGAAGGATGTAATGATTTTTCCTAATATCAAAATATCTCTAATATATAATTCAGAATTCGAATCTATAATCTTTACTTTAAACTCCGTGATTAAATCAAAATATGAAATTATTTCTTCAAACACATCATTTGTTAGTCATCACAATTACAATCCTATTCAATTTCTCGACACGATTAGCCAAACTTCTAAAACTACCGTGTTCACCTTACCGACATGAATCCCGCCTTGTATTTGTGATATAGTATCATGTAAAAATATAGAATACTAAAATTTACAAAAATGGCCATTGTCAACATCGCTCACACGTTGCAAAACAGTCCAAAAGAAGTATAAATATACAAAAGGGCACAATTTTATGGGTATTTATATAAATTACAAAGCTTCCATAATTCCCAAACAAACTGATGGCGACCACCTAAGGAAAGCGCCCGTGTGCTTTCACCCTTCCGATGGCGAGTGCGAGACCCTCGACTACTACTTTTCATTATCCCACATCCACATGGCTGTCTAATTTAAGAGCATTTAATTTTTTTTTTATCAAAAAAAAAAATTATATTTTTATCGGTACTCGACGGTCACGACCATTCATTGTACTTGTCGAGTCAACTCTTTTGGAGAGAGATATCATGTGGGTCGGTATGTGTCACTCAAGTTTACTTACAAGTTTATCCTCTTATATTTACTTTTCACTCTCTAAAACTGATAAATAAAGAGTATATATATCATTTGTATATATCGATTCTACTATCGTGATTTGATGTCCTTGTAAAGCGTGACTTCATAAAGTCTATGGTGTTTGGTAATGAGTCGGTGAACTATTGAAAGCCCTTGACAAACCTACGACGTGTTTGTTCGAGAATGAAGTTTCAAATCTAAATATTTTGAGTAAAGACGGATTCCACATAATTTAATATGCATATCTTGATCTATTAAGGATCTCACGTTAATAAAAGAATGGACTTTATATATGTTTATAATAGATAAGGACTACTTCTTTCATTGTCAATTGGTTTTGAGATGGAACTCATGAATATTGATACGGCCATCATTTAAGCTCTTAAATCTCTCGAACTAAACATGACTCATTATAGAAATAAATCCACCGTACCCATAGCTCTTTTTGATCGTGGCCTTTAAATTAATATATTTAATTATGACAAGTCGATAAAGAAAAGTAGTAATATAATCAACCTTTAATTATTTGTTTTACATGTAAAACGCTCAATATTTCTAAATCCTATCACCTTTAGTTTTCTTTATCCATGTGCTCGCAATTTGGAAAAGAATACAATCCACGTCACTTTATTTTTCTTTATCCATGTGCTCCCAATTTGAAAGAACCACAATCATATAGATTTAACATCATGTACAAAAAACAAAAACAAAACACAACGACAAAGAAAATGGACTTGGAGCCAAATTTTGCTTGTGAAGAAAAAAACAAGGCAAAATATCTAAATCCTGGTTTCTTAAATTACTAGGTTTATCTTCATATTTTAACCTTAGCTACGATTTGACCATTATACTTTTTACAGTGGTTTCAATATATTTACCATTAGTGAAGAATGATAGAAATCTAGCTACCATTTGGCCAAGTGATTTAAGTGATTCAACTCCAAAATAAGGGGCAAAATTATCGAATGAACTCCAAAACACGATTAATCCTGGTCTCCCGTCTTTCAAAACTTCCATACCGCCAATTTAATATAGAAAGTCAAAGCTAAAAATTGGGTTAAAACTATATATATAAAAATTATGCCAACCAAACATAGATTAGATAAGATGCTTATTACTATCACGAAACCAAATCGTCCATCAGGCGATCTCTGTTCGATCTATACGACGGGAGGCAAATTTGTTAGTCCATTGGTGGCTAAGCACTTTATGTGAGGAGAAGAACATAGGAACTGGCGTTTGGGTTTCTCCGATTTTCCTTCGTGGCTTACGGGTGTAGTTGTTTCTGTTTAGTTTTTCTGAAGTTACTTTGATTTTCAAAACAAAAAGAAA